AGAGATGACAGTGTCGCTGAGAAAATCTCAATACAGTTATATGCAAAAAGACATTAAACACGTGGAATATTTATGTGCCTATTTCAGTCTTCTTCCACACGATCCTGAAATTTGAAGGGCTCTTAAACCACTCTGAGTTCCAAGATGAGAAAGCTGTTTAAAATATTCTCGTCTAAGCTGCCCTTCTTACAGCTACTATCTTCTGCTGGCCAGTTATTTCTTTAGAAGATACGTGAACAATGTAATTGTCAAGCATTGGACTTATCAGGATTTAGTGCATTTTGGCTACACGCATTTATGTGTCCTTGCACTGTCGAAAACACACAAAACAAAGTGATGCCATGATTGATTGCATACGTTAATCATGCGAGATGAGGCAGAATGGGTGTGCAACTGTATGGAAAAACAGGACAGGAGACAATTCACGACTGATGTGTGTGCAGCAGTCGAAAGCTTGCACCCTCATAACATCTTAGAAATAAACTGCTGGTGCATGGTGCTGAAAAGACTGAAAACACCAGAAAGGAATATTGTGCCGATTCTTTGAATTTTCAGAGATTGTTTGGGGCCATTTTAAGTGTTGAGGTTACCGCGGATAGGAGCAATTACATTCATGTTTTCACAAAGCAGTTTGGCTGCAGTTTCCGCATGAATGCCATTTGCTGGGTGACTGTTTAAATCTCTAGCCATCTTTAAACACAGGTATAATTTTCAGTGCTGAAAGCTATTGCAAAGGTTTTGACTTGAAAGCACAGTAATTTTCGGGGGGGTGGAGATTTGTTGCCTACCCTGTGCCCTTAAGGCAGTTGTGAAAGAATGTTTTTGCTTGCTTTTATTGGATAGTTGCCCACCCTGTAGTCATGCTACTGAGTTTGTATTCCTCAAGAATGTAGTGAATATCATTGTCTTTCCTTGTGATCAGTTCCAAAATGCAGAGTAAGAGCGTTGCAGGTTCGGACTGGAAAAACGAGAATAATAATGTCATCTATATGGGTAGTCTTGTATAACAGGTACAGTTGATGCGTACCCTAATACATGGCGGGGCTGCCAGAAAAGGTGTCATTCTTCCATTAAATGGGACAGCAGTGGAGGGCATGTTTGCCATTTTTTAGACAAATGTACAGTTAGAAGACAATTTCAGGTAACATGACTGTTGTAATATGCACATTTTGATTGAGTCATAAATAAGATGCTACTATTGATTAGATGTGGCACTACTAAGAAGTTGAAGCTTTATGCTGCAACTGTGGCATTGTAGTGGCCACAATCTTGCCATACTGCGACAGCACAAGTGAGTCGGGCAAGTGCTTTGCTGTATTGCACGAGATCGCTTTCTCTCAGTTTTTATCGAAGTAAAGGTGGAATGACAAGGCACCTCAAAGGATACGATCCCTAGTTGGTACTTGTGCTAATGAGTCTGCTGTCTTGTTCTTTGTGTTCCAACGCAGAGCACTGCACGTGCTCAGGTCTACTCGAAAATCTAGGGCAGGCTGGGTCAAGTAGTTTCATGGAGAGCTTGGATTTTGACCCCCGTATTCACAAATGTTCCTCGACTCGACTTTCACCCTTCGCTTGACAGAGGTGAGCACTGCGCCACAGCTCGGCTCCAAATGACGCTGCACTACTTTAGAATTGCAGCAGATTATTGCTGATATGTAGTGACTTGCCGTGCCTAGAGACGGTGCTCCCATCAGCTTTCTCAAGTGAAGGTGAAGCGTTGAGTGAAGGGACGTTCTAGAACACGGGGGTAAGCTTTGGGCTTAGGGTTGAGCCTGGGTTTGAAGTTGTCGACTTGGTCATTGCTCTGTTCTTAAAATTGTTCTACATACGTTGTGCATTCTTGTTTATATGTTCTACACATTTATATATATAAAAAAGTTTTTATGTAGGGCATGCCATTTGGAGAAGTTCTTTGAGGAACAAATACCAAACTTCTCTGGCTTCCTTCTGATGGGGCTGCTTGATTTATGTTAAGCAGACGAGCTAAAATTAGAAAGACTAGGCACTTATATACATCTTATAGTTCTGTGCTTTACTTACATTTCATTATTATTTTATATCCCTACGCCCTTGTGCCTAGATTTAGGCACACGTTGAAGAACCCCAGGTAGTCTAAATTTCTAGAGCCCCACACTATGGCATCTCTCATAATCGTATGGTGGTTTTGGGATGTTAAACCCGAATAATTTATATTCTTACATTTTATATCCCAAATGTTATTTTTTGAATGCAGTTATAAATGTAATATGATAAATTTATACATGAAACTTGGCATTGCAAGAGGGATCACAGAGCTTCGGAGTGGGAAACATTCTTGGAAGTTCCAGCCATCTACTAGAACAAAAAGTATGCATGGAGTCTTATTACATGGAATCATTATAGAGAGACATTATTTTGCTGTGGCTCTGCCACAAGTCCCAGTAGTTACGTGATGCAATATGGACGTGCACAGGCTGCTTTGTGTGCTCACATTGCCCCGCCGCGGTGGTCTAGTGGCTAAGGTACTCGGCTGCTGACCCGCAGGTTGCGGGTTCAAATCCCGGCTGTGGCGGCTGCATTTTTGATGGAGGCGGAAATGTCGTAGGCCCGTGTGCTCAGATTTGGGTGCACGTTAAAGAACCCCAGGTGGTCAAAATTTCTGGAGCCCTCCACTACGGCGTCTCTCATAATCATATGGTGGTTTTGGGACGTTAAACCCCACAAATCAATCAAATCAATTGTGTGCTCACATTGGTACAGTGTGAGCTTTGATCCTTTTCACCACTTGTTGCGAGAGCTACATTAGTGTCAACAGAGGTGCAAAGTGCATGAATTGCATAGGTCTATCTAAACAGGGAGTGGTGTAAAGTATATTTGTTTGACCAAATATCTGGCTCAAAAACAGACAATTTGAATAATGTGCCAGGAGATGTCTTCTTACCTTGAACCATATGCACTCCATGAGGAAGCGTTGAGTTGCTTATGTGTGCCTTGATCACCCAATTGAAACGCACCCTGAGAACATATTGAAATATTTTTGTCTAACTCCTGCCAATCTTATCAACGTAGTGGCCACCTTCTACTGGCACAACATTGTTAAGAAGGCATGCACTTTTATAACAGGAGAAAAAGAGCATGGCGCGAACCACGCATAAAATGTGCTGCCAAAACCTCCAACGAGAGGCTCATAAGAGGAGGTGATCCAAAGAAGCAAAGGGAGGAGCTGGAAAGCTCTCCTTATCTTGCAGTGGTCCGCATAGACATCCGAAATATGCTCCAGTGGAGGAAGTCTAAGAACAACGAGCACCAACGCCTTTGAAACTTGCAAGGCAGATTTCTGCGCCCCTGTGGCTAGCACAATCAGTATAAGAAACTTAAGCGCAGCAGGATATGTGATGCACCAGTGCAGGGTGTCGTTAAAGCCGAAATCTTGGAATAATTAATTTTTGTTTCATTTTTCAGAATAATGTGGGAGAAAATGAACTATAAGCCATGCAATAAGAAACTTGGACAGAAACCACAGTAGTGGTAGTGTGATTTATGAAAATACCATTATCTTTTCTATGTTTTTTTATTTACTTTTGGCTCTGCATACATTTATTAAAAAGAGCACATTGTGCACACATTCGTTATACCTAAAGTTAGTTTATTTATAGCAAAAGTAATAAATTTTTGCCTTTTTTTTTTATTTGTTATTACTGCAGCAATGGGCTACTACGCTCAAGACAGGGACTACAAATGCTGAAATGTGTGCGATTGGGTTCGTTGGTAGAGCTTTCTTCAACTTTCATTGGCGAGCGCAATAAAACAAGAAGTGAACAGAGCATTCGGTTCTCAGTCCCCTCTGTTTTTATTGTGTTCCTACTGAAACAGAAGTCATGCGGCATATCACTTTTTCTTGCTACAATAAATGCTACAAAACTCGCTTGAGGATTCATGTTAATCAGGCCTCTCTTGCCGCCCTATCAGAATCATGGTAGTTTAAAGGAGAACCAGATACTGTATCGATGACATACAATTCTCTTCTCCAGCAGTGCTGCTGAAGATGATAAGAGTACCCCACCACCTTCCCTGAAGTTGACTAATGTGAAGAGCACTGCATTCTGCAGACTTCATAGGAATATCTTGATCCATGGTATCTTCTTGCACAACATATGTCCAACAATTTACGCCTATAACTACGCAATCTGGGATGTATCAGACACATGTACCTCATACTCCTCAACAGCTCATGGCGCCAGGAAGACGCCACTATTAAGCCTGTCGCTCCTGCAAACGTAGAGGCAAGGGAGACCGGGATCTCCACCTGGAACCTGTACAACCAATGACAGCTCATGTGATTGCGCCCAGAGTGTTCCTGAAATAAGGGACCCTCCTATCTGGAGTGACCCAGAGCTTGCAGGCTCAATAAAAGTTTATTTCATTCAGTCGTTCCCTACTGCATTTAGGGAGAAAGAAATAGTGCGTTGTTGTGCTGCCGAACAAGCATTCATTGTACTCAGTATCTTCACTCAACTACTTCCACCATGGAATCTTGTGCAAAGAATTACTGCCAGTTAATGTTTTCGTTAGTGAGGCAGGTGCCAAGGAAACATACCTATTAGCTACTTGAAATGACTTTTGGTCGATTTCATGTTTGGGCAACACCACCTAGTTTACTGCGTCAGGCATTTGTCGGGCCGGGCTGGGTTGGTGAAATATTTTCTCTGGATCAGGCCGGACCCAGTTCTTTAAGTCGCTGGGCCAGGTTTAGGTGGGTGAACTTCAACGAATGCCAGGCCTGAGCCGAGATTCACTGTCATGCAGTGCTCTGTTCAGACTTCCCCAAAACACAATAGCCACATTATTCTTACCTGTTTTTTTTTTAATTCATACACAATTTTTTTAGTGGTCTTTTCAGCAGAAAACCATCAGGAGCTTTTACATAACACTAAGCCACTGTCTTTGACATGCTGAAAACATTTAATACTTTATTTTGTGGCAGTACTTTGAAACTTATTTCTTGCTTTGTATTATTTCAGGAGGTGGGGACATTTTTTTGACGGGCTGACATGAATGCAGATCAGGAAGGAGCTTGGTTAGGTTAGTCATTTATGCTTAATCAATGTTTTGCTTTTAGTGCTTGTTTGCAAATAATTTTATGTGGAAATAAACATTCCTGACACTTTTCTTCAACAGACCTGAAAGAAATTCATTCCTCCTTGAATGATTTGAAAGACAAGGTATGCTCACCTTTTTTTTTTCTTTTGACTAACCCTTTTTCATATAGAATGCAAACGTGAAAAATATCTGTTAACAGGGGTCGCGTTAAAACGTTCGCTTGACACAACCCCCCTTTGCAGATTTTTTCATCATAAGCTTTCACGCTTCCTGCCATACTTTAAATAATATTTACGTGTTTTTTTGTAGAAAACATTCCTATATCGGTTCAGCTAATAGTATCCTTGTTACATCGTTTAATGTGGTCTTTGGAATCTGCACATTGTCATGTTCACATGAAAACATACAGTAAGGAATATTACTAAGGAGCGCTTTTATGCAAAATATGGCTGAGAATCTGTTGGTGTACATTTATTTTTACATCCAAAAGAGATCTAGGTGTTATAGTTTGTGTAAAGTTGTGTAAGCAGACTTCATCATGCAGTGAGCCTTAAAAAGTGGGCTTTTCGAGTTTCAGTCAGTTGGGCCAAGATAGATGCCACATTATCAGTACCTTCAAAGCTGATAGCTGATGTGCTCGCAGCTAGGAATAGAAATCAGTAGTAATATAACACTAGCATCAACATGCATGATTGCACCTTCTGCACATGCTTGTAAGATTTGTTTCATTCTGGTGAAATGTATTATGCCATGTGAGGTGCCTTTGTATAATTTTGCAGAAGGTGTAAAGCATTGATGCCAGCATAGTGTTGTTACTAGCGGACCTACTTAAAAGGACACTAAAGTCAAATAAAAACTTACATCAGAATGGGACTCAGTGTATGACAACATCTAAAACGACAATATTATCATCAGCAGCACCATAATTACTGAAGAATTGAAGTAACTGCACAAGAGAACATGCGCCTTAGTAGGACATTCTCAAAATGGTGCCGATGACGTCAGACGAACCACCTACAATATCAGTGGCAATCACTAGTAATCGATCTAGCTGCACTAAATAAAGAATCTTCTGTGCATCAAGAGATGTAATAAAATGCTGCATGTTCATTTCTGTTTGATTAATGAAAAAAAGAACCACCAGACATTTGTATGGTGTATGGAGCGAATGGTCCGAAAATTCGATTTTTGCATGGTTACACTGGACAAGTCGTGCTATCTAGCAGGGCGCAGTTGAACCAAAACACTTCTGCTGTCTCGGAGCTAATGACAGGCAATTAATCAATGGCCGTTGTTGCTGCTGTGGCTCCCGCTGCTTTTGTTATGTCTACTAGTGTCGGCGACCGCGCAGTAAAGCCGGCAACGTTGTGCGCAGCTACAGTGACGTGAGTCGGTTTGCTTTTTGAGGCGGGTGATTTGAAGTGCGCTAACCCGATGAGGGCCACCAAAACAGGAATTTATTACAAAATAAGCCCTTATTTGGCATAAATGTAACTAACGTGGTTGCTTGGGCAAGTTGGTACGACATCATTCACATAAAAAACAGCACGAATAACGAGGGACAAGAAAAGGAGACAGACAGCGGCACTGACTTACAACTAGATTTGTTTGCTGCAACCGTGTAATATATACTTGAGCAGTATCTGACAAATAAGAGAAATTACAAATCAAGGAAAACAGAATTCACCTAACAACTGAGTAATCATCGTGATAACGCGCCATGAACATCACACGTGCTAACGTTCTGAAGAAAATCTATTTCTTTTTGTGATAGAGCTATCAAAGGCCTGCTGACACATGCACTGCCCAGCCTTTCTATTTCTGCAGCCTCATAAATTTCGCGCATCATCTGATCCCGATGACGCCTGATGACGTTACAATGCTGAAAGTCGGGGACACAACTGCAGTCTCGGCAGTGAATGCCGAGGTAGCCCGATACTGTAGAAGAGGCGTTGTGAGCAAGTGGTACATCGGCTAAACAGGCAGGTGTTTAAATGAGGGGCTGAAACAGCAGGCTCACAATGTCTCTTCTACAGTATCGGGCCACCTCAGCATTCACTGCCAAGACTGTGGTTGTGTCCCCGACTTTCAGCATTGTACCGTCATCAAGCGTCATCAGAACCAGATGATACGCGAAATTTATGAGGCTGCAGAAATAGAAAGGCTGGGCAGTGCATGTGTCAGCAAGCCTTCGATTGCTCTATCAGAAAAAGAAATCGATTTTCTTCAGAACGTTGGCACACGTGATGTTCATTGCGCGTTATCACGATGATGACTTGGTTGTTAAGTGAATTCTGTTTTCTTTGATTTGTCACTTCTCTTATTTGTCGGATACTGCTCAAGTATGTATTATGCGGTTCCAGCAAATAAATCTGGTTGTAAGTCAGTGCCACTGTCTCCTTCTTTTCTTGTCCCTCGTTGTTGGCAATGTTTTTTATGTGAATAAAAGTAACACTACAAGGTTTCTGGACCACTATTTCAACAATCAGTGTCCACTTAATAGTTGCCTTTAGTGTCCCTTTAAGGCTCATTCGCATTTTAAACTAGCACTGGCTATATGACTATCTCCAACTGGCAAAAAAAAAAAAACCAGCTCAAAGCGACTGGTGTTCGCACCTGTGTGCTACCTGTGCCCATCACTACATAGAATTCATGTCTGCTCTCATTGCCTTTGTCCTGTAAACTGATGTCCTGTTCCTGCACATGTGAATTCAGAAACTTGAGACTGCAGTAGCGTGCCTGAAAAACAGAGCAGTGAGGGACTCAGCCAAAGCGGCCATTCAAGACTAGTCGCTTTGCGGGTACCTTATTTGCACGACTGCTGCTAGTCTTAGGTGCGTCATTCCATGCCAAATGTCTCAGCCATTGGCGATGCATCTCAACTACATTTGTAAATAAATAGGGAATATTGATTGGATTGAAAACAGTAAATTGGTTGAATACTTTACCGTAAAAAATTTTTTGGTCGTGTAGGAGCCTTCCAAATATTGCAGAATGACGTCACAGTGTATTAAGTCAGCAAATTTTTTCTCGTTTTAGTGCCAAATTTGATTTACTTTTTAAAAAGCAATGACATTTGCATAAGGTGCTCAAAGCTGAATAATAATCATGTAATTTTTCTGCCCTAAATGCCTCTCAAAAATTTCCAAAATGCTGAATGTTTACATTGTTCTCTTTTAATATTGTGTTATACAGGATTCCCCAGCTACCTCTAGCCAGAGTGTTGACGCACTCTATGACGATGCGACCTAATGCATGTTGCTGAGTATTTTCTGGTGTATGGCACACTATTTATTATGCTCTTCTTACTTGCCTAATTAGGCTTGTTTAATTATCTGACTTTTAAATCATTGAAGCGGGGTAAAAGACTTTAATGAGAACGTTGATCAGTTTGCAAAGTGTCCAGTTAGATACTTTCTAAATTTCCAATCATTAGAGTACTAGTTTTTTTCTGCTTACTACAGATACCCACGTTAATGAAAAAAAAAAAAGAAAGAAACCATCCCGACATATTCACGAAGTGAATGATGAGTGGGCAAGCAGTGGGATTGTTTGGCGTGACCGTAAATCACCTGTCACATTGACCACTCACGCATGTAAATGAGTGCCAAGTAGTGTACATTTATATACATTGTGCATTGGTCATAACCGGTAGTGTTGTGCGGAGTTTTGAATTTCGCTGTGCCTTTATTATTTCTGCTTTGTGGTGTCGGATCTAGCCTGTTGTGGACAAAGGCAAGGTCAGGGCACATTTCCCTGGTGGTTGTTGGTTGTTTCCAGTCATGCAGAATGCATCGTAGAGCATATCGAGACGTCGTATACTGCACAAGCCAGTCATTGTTCATGATCCTCATGCTCATGGTCGTCATCTTCGTCATGACGTATAGTGGGTACCTTGCATGTACTGTGCTGTGATGGCCGAAAGAGAATGTTTTGTCTGGAACATGCTTGTTCTTAATCATCATCAGCATCATCGTAAGCTGTGGCTATGGCACACAACGCCTATGTTAACGCCAACGGACAAGCCTCGACCATAAGAAGCTTCGCCCCTAATACCCTAATAATTTCATTGATGAGACATCAGATCCGGTCCGCTGAGAGTTGCCACGAAGGCGCCGTCCTCTTCTGCGCTAGTACTGGTGGATTGAAGAGGTGCTCGTTATAGTGTGTCGGCGTCTTCATGCTTTTTGCCTGACTTGTACACGATGGTGACATCAAATTCCTGTAGGCGCAGACTCCATCGTGCTAATTGTCCTGAAGGGTCTCGTAGATTGGTCAACCAGCACAAAGCATGATGGTCAGTCACCACTTTAAATGGTCTTCCATAGAGATATGGCCTAAACTTTGTAATTGCCCAAATGACCGCAAGACATTCTTTCTCTGATGTGGAATAGTTAGATTCTGCGCGAGACAGTGTGCGACTTGCGTAGGCTATTACCCGTCCAATGCCATCTTGTCTTTGTACCAGAATAGCTCCAAGACCAATATTGCTGGCATCAGTGCGTACTTCAGTGTCAGCATCTTCATCGAAATAGCCAAGCACGGGAGGGTAAGAGAGCCGGTGCTGTAGTTCCGCAAAGGCAGTCTGCTGTTCGTCAGCCCAGGCAAATGGTGTGTCATCACGCGTGAGGCGTATTAGTGGCTCCGCAATGTTAGAAAAATTTTCAATAAAGCACTGCTAATACGTGCACAGACCCAGAAATCGTCGAAGACTTTTCTTGTCAGTTGGAGGTGGAAAAGCGGTGACAGCAGCAGTTTTGTCAGGATTAGGCCGAACACCAACGGCACTCACGACGTGACCAAGAAACTATAATTCTTCGCAGCTGAAATGACATTTCTCAGGCTTGAGTGTGAGATCGGCCGATCTAATGGCTTCGAGAACATTCCGAAGGCGACGAAGATGCTAGTCAAAGGTTTCTGAAAACACAATGACATCATCGAGGTAGACGAGACAGCTTTTCCACTTGAGGTCTGCCAGGACGGTGTCCATCATTCGCTGGAATGTAGCTGGAGCGGAACAGAAGCCGAAAGGGAGCACTTTGAATTCATAAAGGTTATCCGGCGTTACAAAAGCGATCTTTTCCCGGTCACATTCATCGACCTCTATTTGGCAATAACCACT